AAATGAGGCCTAGCACAAGGCTGCCAGGTGCCTGTGACCTCCCATTCTCACCGTTTCCTTCACCAGCCAGAGCTCTATTTCCTTAACCCCGTTCACGCAGGATACACAGGCCGACTGGCCTGATCTGTTCTCTGTGCCGTGGAGGCGGTTCCTCCAGAGAGAGGGAGGCATGGACAGAGGTTCAGCGCCCAGGCCCCGAGTCAGACCGAGTTTCCAAATCCCCTGCCTTCTCTGGGCCTTTGGGAATGAGGTGGTAGCTAAAGTACTGGAGAGAATCAGAAAGAGAATCCTGTGCAGAGCTTAGCGCAGTGGCTGGCACAGTGAATGACCAATGTCAGCTGCTGTCATCACTCAGGGTAACTGCCGTCCCCTGATTATCATCGTCATGATCATTATTTCCTGATCACTCTGCATGCCCTTGCCATCTGCATCTGTGCTGTTAGTTTGGAATCTGTATTCTCTTTCGTTACCTGTGTGTTGTTTCAAGCTACCGAAGGAAGTCAGTTAGTTTATCTTCTGTAGTCTGTCCTGCTACTCAGTAGAGCGTTCTGTACATAGTAAGGGTAGCTCAATATATGCTTGATGAGGCGTTTGTGAATTTTCTTTTTTTAAAATGTTATTTTTCAGTTACCGTTTACATTCACTATTGTTTTACATTAGTTTCAGGTGTACAGCGTAACGGTCAGACAATCATACTTGACAAAGTGTCTCCTGATGTTTCCAGCCTGGCACCATACTAGTTATTACAATACTAGAGGCCCGGTGCATGAGATTGGTGCACTGGCGGCGGCGGGGAGTGGGGGTGTGTGTGTCCTGGCCTGCGCCCTCTTGCAGTCAGGGGCTCTCACAGTCCAGGACACCTCGCTCCTTACCACCCGCCTGCAGCGGAGGTGGGAGTGGCTCCCACCACTGCCTTTGCACTCGCCAGCCATGAGCTCGGTTTCTGGCTGAGCAGCGCTCCGCCCCCCATGGGAGCGCACTGAACACCAGGGGGCAGCTTCTGCTTTGAGCACCTGTTCCCTGGTGGTCAGTGCGTGTCATTGCGACTGGTCATTCTGCTGATGGGTCAACTTGCATATTAGCCTTTTATTATATAGGAGGATTACTGCCTGTATTGTAAATTTTCTTTCTTTTTTTTTGTTTGTTTTTTTTTAAATTAAATCTTTATTGTTCAGATTATTACATTTGTTCCTCTTCCCCCCCACAACTCCCCAGTTCCCACCCCACCTTCCACCCATACTCCCCACCCACTTTCCTCATTCATAGGTGCACAATTTTTGTCCAGTCTCTTCCCGCATCCCCCACACCCCTTTCCCCCCAAGAATAGTCAGTCCATTCCCTTTCTATGCCCCTGATTCTATTATAATCACCAGTTCATTCTGTTCATCAGATTATGTATTCCTTGATTTTTAGATTCACTTGTTGATAGATGTGTATTTGTTGTTCATAATTTGTTCATAATTTTTATCTTTACCTTTTTCTTCTTCTTTCTCTTCCTAAAGAATACCTTTCAGCATTTCATGCATAGTTTCTGTTGAGAAATCAGCTGACAGTCATATGGGTATTCCCTTGTAGGTAACTATTTTTCTCTTGCTGCTTTGAAGAATCTCTCTTTGTCTT